ATCGATATGTGGGGTTTAACGTCCCAAAACCACTATATGATTATGAGAGACGCCGTAGTGGAGGGCTCCGGAAATTTAGACCACCTGGGGTTCTTTAACGTGCACCCAAACCTGAGAACACGGAGAATATTGACGTGTTGTTATGGTGCCTCAGATATCTGCAATAATTGCTTTTAATACACAATCGCACAGGTATGAACGCTGAAACTTGAGCAATATTGGTAGGCGGTGCGGATGGGCTCGGCCATTCGCAGTATCGTTTGGTGCTGTTTTGTACACCGTTAAGGGTGGACAAACAGACAAGTATACAGGCAGGCAGGCACCAAATTTTTTTAGTCGAATGTCCCCAAGAAAGACTATCGTCGTTGAAAAATGCACGTATGGAATACTAACGATCGGTCTATCCTTACCGTGAGCATGCCTCATAGCATCACCCCCTTCTTCACTTTCTAACTTCCTCAATACCGATGATTGGTGGACTTTTGTGGGGCGAGAGCCATGGGTGGCCAAAGAGCGCCATGTATTTGATGCGATGTAAGCAATTACAAATGATTGCGATAGCAGGGTGTAATACGGCTGTATAAAGGCCTAAAATCACGTGCTGTATTAAAGCGTATAATGTGTGTATCAAGTATGAAATTATGACAGTGGTTCGTCATTTGATGCATGGGTGTTGAACGAATTGCAAGTGACCATGGTATCCACAAGTGAGTGATTGTAAAATAGCACGAATGCCTGCTCAACCCCTTTGAAACCGATGGGCGAAAGGCAGGTGCTCCTCGGAGTAGCTACTGCAGCAACAACCTCTGCACAGAGGTTATGCTACGGATTTCCTTTGTATAAACTCCTTCAATACTCGTTCTCTGGGAAATGATAAATGTTTTGCAAGGAAAACTGGACTGTTATAGTTGATTGACTTGATTAGAAGAAGCACCCTTCATTCGATGTGGGCAAGACTTAGACAAGGCGGACACTAGACAAGACGTGGCGGTCCTCTCTTTAACCACCAGTGGTAGGACCTGAAGTACAGAAATTGCTTCACGGACCTCGGAAAAAAAGATCCAGCAGTCCAGGAGTATTTGCCATTCCTCTATACGCGTGTTTTTCTGAAGATTAACTTCAGTTCTTATCTGCGCTTGCCTGTGCTCTCTTTCTTCTTGTCCATTTTTGTCCCCAAATTGCATCTACTATCGAATACCAACTCGCCCCACGCTCGATTATTCAAAATCGATTGGTATTGATTAGGTACTTGTGTTTGACCAATGGAATTTACTAAAGTAATGTCCCTGTGAGGAGATGTGCAATGAACAAATAAGTGAATGAATGAACTTTATTAAAGGTAATATCGGCGGGGTAGGGAACAACCCCTGCGCCATGCCACCCTCGCGCCTCCAACAAACAATACAGCTGTGTTCTAGCATATCCCGATATTGGCGGTCACCTGAGGCACCGCCATCAACATTGAGGTGTGCTAGAAGAAACTTTTATTGTTTGTTCGCGGTACGGTTGTCAAACTTCAGCTCGAGTCTGTACATACATGCACATTATATACACGTGAAAAGTACTGACTGTGGACCACTCGGGTAGTTCCATGCGCGTATTTTTTTCGTCTATTTTTTTCTCCACTATAGTATTCTCGTTGATGTCAGTCATACAGGGGAGTACTGGTACAGTTATTACGATTGCCTATGCACTCGAACAAGAGAACAATATAGAAGCTTAGTGTATGCTCACCTGAACATGCAGCCATGTAGATGGAAACGCCTACTGTTCTGTACTCCTTGAATACCTTCGCGTAGGAGAGTGAAACACAGTGCTATCAATCACAGTGCTATGCAAAAGGTTTTGAATCCGTATTCATCGCTCAAACGCGTACAAAACCTCAAAATAGATATTTTATAGAACCGATTTAATGAACAACGCTAAATACGAGCCTTTACAGGGTAACTTAATAGGGTGACTGGCACAGTGTAGTTGGATATACCAAGTGACAACGTAAGGCTACAGTAGAAGCTCAGACTACAAACGAACAATATTTCTGCCTATTGTGCCTCCACTCCATGAATGTTAGAATTATTTACCGGAATATTAAGCGTGGTTTGTCTCTTTCGTCACGAAAATGACTCTTGACGTCATGGAAGTGAACTGACCACACATACTATCGCGTGTGGTCTGTTTGATTGAGTTTAAGTAGTTACAGACTGAATACAGCAAAACTGTATTCATCTATTTTGCCTGTCTTTTTGTTTTTTTTGATGCTTTACCTCTTAGAAATTTCCCTTAATAACCTACAAGTAGGGCATAGGTTCGAATCTGATGAAATATAGGAAGAAATTCTTCCTCCCTGAATTCCAGCGTCTGAAACGCAGTGGTTAAAAAAGAAATAACTGACCACGTGACCTCACCTCCATCATGGTGTTTATGCTGGTGCCGTCCACGAAGCTGACTCGAGAGAAGTCGAAGATGACGTAAGAAGGGCGGCCCCCGACTCCTGCTACGGGCTCGGTGCTGACATACACCGACTCGGCGGCCCTAGGTTCGTACGGCGGGATGCCCGGAATGTTGGACGAGAAGCTGCAGGACGGTTCGCGGATCTTAATCACGTTTCTGGCCTGTGGGGAACAGGTTGAGACGGCGCAGAAAAAATGCAAGTACGTTAACCAATTCACTACACTTAGAATAGGAAGAGGACTTAGAAAGAGAGGGTGCAAGACAAAGCCATTGTGTACTTGAACTGCAACGGTAGTGAAGAAGTTAAGAGTCCACCTGCAATACGGGAGCTACTGTATTGAATTTACGGAGCTCCTGGCCACCCACTTGTCTTTAGTGCAATGCGGGCGTAGCCAGAAATAATTAGCTCTTACTTCGCAAAGGGAAACGGGCTGGTAAGTGGTGGAGCCACCTTTTATGTTCGTGCATGTCGTTTCATGGGTGCGTATATCACCATGGTCACGTGACGCAGCCTGACAAATGCGTGCGCCTGACACATCTCTCGGCTAACTTGTCACGAATGACCCGCTTTTTTGCCGGGCACATGCAGCACCACGTGATGATGCCCATTTCTCAGGGGTGTGCGAAGGGTCAAATGTGGAGCCGAATAGAGAACGAATCGAATAGCGATGACACGGAGTTGGCTATAAATAGTTTTCAAATGGTAAGTGGACCATTTTCGAAACAGTTGTACACGACATTGTTTGACTTGAACGAAACATGCACAAATTTTCATCAAAGACCATCACAGTTAGTTCTAAATAACTGGAAACACCACAACCGGAAAAATTATAGGGCCTTCGTAACATTTTTAAGTCATTGCTACAATACAGGTTTCACTAACGTCGTCAATGCGAGGCTTTGTCACTTCATAATAAGTCAAGTTGGGACACAAAAAACGGAACAATTTTCAACCAAACGCCGCAGATACAGCTAAAGATGTAATGAAGCAGATAAAGCTGTTATGACTGCGCACCGAAAGCGTAACAATTGTTGCTTCGATCTGTACACTAAAGCAATACTCGCATATATGACTAACGCTGCAAGCCGTCGTAGTCACCACTTTCAATTATTAAAAAAATCCAGACGGAAGCTGATCCTTGCAGTACAGTTTAAGCCAAGCAAAAAGTGAGCAAAAGTGGACTTTTCAGAAGAAACAGGTTTATTTGGTCACCGATATAGTGTCGGTAGTCTCTTCGAAAATTGGGCTGCACGTAGATTACTTCAAGGATTAAAAGTAGTGTGATGTTTAGCTGTTGAAATGTTTGATTGTTTTGGGGTATTCCCGTTATTGTGGATTATTAAAAATGTTTTAGATTCGAGTACCGAATCAAATACAGTGCTATTCGACTCATTATTCAAAGTTTTTTGCATATTCGCACACCCCTAGTTTTTATTTTCTTGATTTGCTTGTATTATATTTGTGATGATGATGATGTTTGAAGTTTTGTGGCGCAAGGGCCATTTCACGGCCAAAGAGCGCCAGTTCATGTTACTAAGATTATGGACAATGATTGTGATAAGCGGCGGTATAGAGGCCATAAAATTCCTCGCGGTAAGGCGGGTAAAAACATACAAGTAATAAAATCATGACCATGCCGTGAAAGGTGTGTGTGGTGAGGATAGATGACAAAAGTTGGTGATAATAAAAGACGATGGTGGATATGTATGTCATTAGCACAAGTGCCTCACTCGTTCATACCCTTGCGTCCAAGGGCCGTGAGGCAAGTGCTTTCTTGTGTAACCACCGCAGCAATAACCTCTCTGGAGAGGTCATGCTACGGAATGCCCGGGTGTATGATATGAAAATTATTAATTTCTTTTAAAAACGCTAACAATGATTTATGACTAAAAAGCGGTTCCCTACCAACGAACATTGCAGGGTGTAAAGGTATATGTTGTCGGTAGGGTAATGTAAAATGTTGTTTTCTTATAGTTTCTAAGTGTTTACACTGGATTAACACGTGAAGGACGGTTAATGGTTCACCACATCTGTCACACAATGGTGGATCGCCACCAGACAAAAGATATGTGTGTGTCGTGTATGTGTGTCCTATCCTGAGTCTCGTTAGTATTACCTCTGTATGACGCGATTTCGATACAGGCAGCCAATGACCAAGGTGTGGCTTAATAACGTGAAGTTAGTTTTGTGTGTGTGTATCCCACTTGCTCTGCTAGTAGTCCCGGAGGTTTCGTTTGAGAGACGGCTTAAGATCAAGGGCCGGGATTGATATGGATGTAATGGCGGTGCTCTCATGGACGGATGCAGCGAGCTGATCCGCCCTCACGTTGCCTTGAATCTCACGGTGCCCTGGCACCCAGCACACTACAACATGTTGTTTGAGTGCGTAGAGTGTGCATAAAATGGAGTAAACTGAGACAAGGACTGGTTTTTTGTGTTTTTTAAGAGTGTGCAGAGCCGTTACTACACTGAGGGAGTCTGTATAAATTACTGCTTTTTGTATTTGTAATTGTTTTATGTGTTTAGCTGCCACAAGTATTGCGTAAGCTTCCGCTGTGAAGATACTTGTGCGTGGATGTAGAGGGCCAGCATCCGAAAAGGATGGGCCGACAGCAGCGTAGGACACAGAGGAGTTAGTCTTGGAGGCATCTGTGAAGAACTCAGGACGTGTGTATTTGTGTTGAAGTTCCAAAAAGTATGTTCGGATATGGGCAATAGGTGCATGTTTTGTAACTTCTAGGAAAGACACATCGCAGTCTATAGTCTGCAACTGCCACGGTGGCGGTTATGCTACAGGAGCCATTAAACTGTGTTCAAGTGACACTGCAGTTTCTTGAGCTAGACACTTCAGGCGAACTGAGAAGGGCTGCCTCATCGAAGGCCTGTTTTGAAACAGAGTTGAGCTCGACAAATCATTAATTGTAGAGTATGAAGGGTGCTCCTTGTCTGCTTTCACCTTAAGGAAGTAAACAAAGGACATGTAGGTTCTTTGCAGATGAAGCGACCACTCATTTGACTCAACGTAAAGGCTTTCTACGGGGCTGGTGCGAAAAGCACCCGTAGAAAGGCGGATGCCCAAATGGTGCACGGGGTCCAGCATCTTCGAGGCACTTTGAGTAGCAGACTGATAGACAACGGCCCCATAATCTAAGCGGGTGCGAATGAGGCTTCTATAGAGGTTAATGAGGCATTGCCTATCACTACCCCAAGTAGTACGTGACAACACTTTTAAAACATTCATGGCTTTTAAACATTTTGTTTTTAGATACTTGATGTACGGCACGAAGGACAACTTGTTGTCCAAGATTAGGCGTAAGAATTTATGCTCGGCTTTGACGGACAGACGCTGCCCGTTCAGTCGAATGTCAGGTTCCGAGTGCATGCCTCTCTTTCGAGAGAACAAAACACACGTGCTTTTTTGTGGGTTCAGTCGGAATCCGTTTTCCCCTGCCCATTTGGAGAGCTTGTTTAAACCTAACTGAACCTGCCGCTCATACAATGCCAGATTGCAAGACCTAAAGCCAAGCTGGACGTCATCGACATATGTGCAATAAAACATATTGCGAGGGATGGTCAAGCGCAAGGAATTCATTTTTATGAGAAAAAGTGTGCAGCTAAGTACACCACCTTGTGGCACGCCTGTTTCCTGAACGAATGTTTGGGAAAGAACCGTGCCCACTCGGACACGGAATGTCCGGTTTGACAGGTAACTTTTGATTATGTGAAACTATCTTCCGCGCGCGCCAAGGTGGGAAAGGTCTCTTAGAATTCCGAAACGCCATGTTGTATCATAAGCCTTTTCGATATCGAGGAACACAGAGAGAAAATATTGTTTATGGACGAAGGCGTCTCTGATCTGTGCCTCGATACGAACAAGGTGGTCTGTGGTGGATCTACCTTCTCGAAACCCGCACTGAAATGGGTCGAGCAAATTATTTGTTTCAAGGAAATGTACAAGTCGGCAGTTTATCATTTTTTCGAAGACTTTGCACAAGCAGCTTGTAAGTGCTATAGGCCTATAACTCAAGGATAAAGAAGGGTTTTTGCCCTCTTTCAAAATGGGAATAATAATAGCCTCCTTCCAGGAGGTAGGGATAGCGCCAGAAAACCAGATAGCATTGTACAAACAAAGTAAGGTTTTTCGTGTTTCGATTGGTAGGTTTTTCAACATTTCATACACGACACGGTCAGAACCTGGGGCAGAAGTACTGCAGGAGTTTAGAGACATTTGCAGCTCAGCTAGACTGAAAGCTTGGTTATATGCCTCGGATCTAGTGCATTTGTGTTCAAGTTTCTGCTTTTCTATTCTTGTTCTCTATTTTTGGAAAGTGTCAGTATAGTGGGATGAGCTGGACACCTGTTCGAAGTGTGCACCGAGGAAGTTTGCCTGATCTTCCAAGGTATCACCCCGAGTGTCCACGAGTGGAAGTGTGTGTACTTGTTTTCCTGCTATCCTACCGACCATGTTCCAGACTTTAGCCTCCTGTGTGTATGAATTGATCCCCGACAAAAACTTCTGCCAGCTTTCTCTTCTGGCCTGCCGACGCGTTCTCCTGCCTTGAGACTTTATTTTCTTGAAGGTGTCAAGATTTTCGGCTGTCGGTGAGTTCCGAAGCAGCCTCCAAGCTCTGTTTTGCTGTTTGCGCGCGTTTCGGCATTCAGAGTTCCACCATGGCACACGCCGTTTTCCTGGGTGCCCATTTGTTTGTGGGATGCATTTTGTTGCAGCATCAATCAAAAAAGCTGTGAAGTAGTCGACAGCAACATCAATGCTTAAAGTACATATGTCACTCCAATCTATACGAGCGATGGTATGAAACCGTTCCCAGTCGGCTCTGTTTATGAGCCATTTGGGAACACGGGGTGTACACTCAGTTGCTGTAGTTGTGCTCAAAACTACGGGAAAGTGGTCACTTCCGTACAGATTACTGACGACTTTCCACTGAAGTAGAGGCACAAGAGATGGAGACACTATGCTTAGGTCTATGGAGGAGTAGGTGTTATGTGCGAGATTATAATAGGTTGGTTCTTTTCTATTTAGGAGACATGCGTTCGACGAGAGAAGGAATTGTTCAATTAGTCGACCTCGCGCGTCGCAACGAGAGTCTCCCCATAGCCTGCTATGCGCATTAAAGTCTCCAAGGAGAACATAGGGCTCCGGAAGTTCATCAATTAAAGAGTGTAAATCACGTTTTTGCAGCTGATAGCTAGGAGGGATGGAAATAGTGCAGATTGTGATTAGTTTATCAAAAAGAACCGCTCGAACAGCCACTGCCTCAAGGGATGTTTGGAGTTGTAAGTGTGTGCATGCAATTCCTTGATTCACTATGATGGCAACACCTCCGGATGATGTCATGGCATCATCACGGTCCTTTCGAAAAATAACGTATTTGCGAAGAAAATTTGTGTGTTTTGAATTAAGGTGTGTTTCTTGTACACACAGCACTTTTGGTGAGTGTTCATGTAGGAGTTCTTGGATGTCGTCAAGGTTTCTGAGAAGGCCCCTGACGTTCCATTGTATAATTTGAGTGTTCATGGTGAATGTAAAATAACGCTGTGTGTACGAAAAGCGAGTGGCTGTTTAGACGGGGAGTTTGAGTTCACTTAACAGGGCCGTCACCAGGCCCTGTTATTTGCTTTTTTGTTTTCTTGGCGCGCTCCAAGGAGCCACGCCGCTGTTTCGGCACCAAGGGTGCCGACGTATCCATTGCCTCCTCGGAGGCACTGGATGCCCGCACGTGCGGGCTGTTAGTTTGGATTTTGGGCCTCGCCTGGTGAGGGGAGGCCTTGAGACCCGAAGACTCTGGAGTCTCCGGTCTCTGTTTGGGAGTAGGCGCTGTAGCCTGGGCTACAGCTGCCTTGGGGGCAGGTGCCACAGCCGACGGCTCGCTCTGCGCAGGCCGAAGGGGTGGCGAGGGCTGGTGCGGCGTTGCCCCCTGACGCGCCGCATCAGCATATGTTGCGCAGTAAAATGGCGACACTCTTCGTCTTGCTTCTTTGAATGTGATGTTTTCTTTGACTTTAAGAGTGATTATTTCTTTTTCTTTCTTCCAGTTAGGACATGAACGCGAATACGCGGCGTGTTCCCCGTCACAATTCACGCAGTGAGGCGTAGTAACACAGTTATCAGATGGGTGGCCGTGGCTACCACATCTTGCACAAGTTTCCTGACCCCGGCAGTTCTGCGAGCCATGACCAAATTGTTGACATTTATAACACCGTCTTGGATTGGGAATGTAGGGACGGACAGAGAGTTTGATGTATCTTGTGTCTATAGATGAAGGCAGTGTGCTAGATGCGAAGGTGAGTATTAAATGTTTGGTAGGTATTTCTTTGTTGTCTCGTCTGATGACGATTCGTTTCACATCTGTGACATTTTGCTCTTTCCACATTCAAGCAGTTCCTGTTCAGACATTTCAAGAAGGTCTGCTTCTGAAACAACTCCGCGTGAGGTGTTCATTGATCTATGAGGTGAAATAGATACTGGAATATTACCAAATGCTACGAGACTGCCAAGTTTTTCATAGTGGTGTTTTTCAGGCAGCTCAAGGAGAAGGTCTCCGCTAGCCATCTTTGTAACCTTGTATCCTGGGCCAAAGACCTCTGTCAGGGATTTAGCAACAAGTAATGGAGATATTGCTCTGGCTTGTTTTGTTGGGTTTTCGCTGTGCACAACATGGAATTTGGGAAAGCATTGTCTGGGTTGGCTGAAAATTGATATGTCATCGGTGCGTCCCCTCTTAGGCGGGAGACGATCTAGGAGACGGGGAAATGCAGGTGTTCCCATAGTAGTGTACTTTTTGTTCGGCAGCAATGGCGACCACCCACCATGGAGTCCAACCAGGGGACGCTGAAGCACTTAATAGCATAAGGCTGCAGACGCCAGCCGTACATTGCCACTATAACCAAATATAACTACTCAAGGTTGAGTAATTACACAAGGTTAACCTTCGCCGCCATGAAAAATCGGAAGTAAATAGAAGAGAGAAGAAGACAGGACAGATTTAAAGACGAGAAAAGACTAAGATGTAGGAAGAGAGAGATAGGAAAAGGCGACTGCCGATTTCCCCTGGGTGGGTCAGCCCAGGGGTGCCGTCTACGTGAAGCCGGGGCCAAAGAGGTGTGTTGCCTCTGCCGGGGGGCCTTCAAGGTCCAATCACCCAGCTTTGGCTCAACCCCCAGGATCCCCTTTTCCCCGGACACGGCAAAGCCACGCACGGCTAGGCGTGGGAGGGAGCCGAAACTCCCCCGTTAGCTCGGGTCCGTGGTGTCGCTACACACCAAACGCCTATTTGCGCAGGCGCCCCTGCGGGTTGTATTATATTTGTGACGAGGTGCTTGAAGCTATGTATTTACATACGTCTTTCGCCAACGAATATTTCAGTTGGTAAAGAACACCGTCATTATTAATATACAATGAATTGAGCTCAATAATTTAAAAGCCTTACCAGCTTCTTGACAAGGATTCCTACTTTGCGTTATATAGCAGTGTAGTAAACTCTTACCAAAAATATATGCATTACAACTCCTAAATGCTCGAGCTATTCAAAGTTGACAATTATACCACAGTTAACTAAAAGATGTAGGTATGATTTAGGTAACAAAAAATAACAATTCATTCTCACACACTTTTCGCGCACATGAAACTGAATAGGTACATAATATGTATGCCTGTAAATTGCAAAAAAATAAAAATATGAAACGCACCGTGTAACCCACCGCAAACTTCATAGAGTGTGTTCATTTATGTGCTTCGTCTCCGTCTTTTACCACGATGTTTTCTGTTCCTATTATCTAACAGCTCCTAAATATCATTGTGTTTACTTGCTCCAGTTCTATGGCCATTTGCTTGTGACATTATTCGATGTACACTGAAAGCCAGGACACGACTTACCTTTGCACTTCTGGGAATGATGGGTTTCTTAGGAGTTTTCCAAGTGGGCTTGTCCGGTAAGCTATTTAAAAAAAGAAGAAAAAGAAATAGGAGTTTGTATACTATGCTTCTATGACGTTATGATAAGAGGACGTTTACTTTCATTGACTTAAAATGACGACAGAGCTGGTTTAATCTATGGACTCGAGTTGCCTCGGGTCGGCACGTGATAAAACGACTGCCTTGCACAAAAGTGCACCGCTATATGTCTCAAATTAGGAAACAAGCTTCATCACAGTTATGTTGCCAGTCTATAGGAGATTACGAAGCATCAACCAGTGTGTAAATTTAATTATAACGTATTCGGATGTTGCGGACAGTAGTTTCGAGGGTGGCGTTATATCGCAACTAAGATATAAATCTCGAGGCGTTACAAACTTTTTTCAGTTCCCTCAGCGATATAACAAAAGGAGCAAAATAAAACGAAAATTGATTTTATGCGCCTACAGATAGCGTCAATTTCATGTTCATCACTAGTAAAAAGAACACAGGTATTCAGATTTGTTGAAGTGAGCAACGGATCTGCGGTTTAGCGGCTTTCCGTAAAGTATAATATGATTTCAAAGAATTTATTACTGTCTGATGTAGTTCTTCGGTTAATGAAATATACATAGGAGAGATATGAACGAAAGACATGTAAATTCATAAGCTTGTTTTCTTTGTTAGACAAAATATTGACGAGAACCAACGAACAATGATGCCACGGAAAGTTCATGGTGATACGTATGGCTTAACGTCTCAAAATGACCATGTGAATATAAGAAACGCCGTTGTGCAGTGCTCCGCATATTTCGACTACCTGAAGTTCTCTAACGTGCACCCAAATCTGAGCACACGGGCCGAAAGCATTTTCGCCTCCATCGAAAGTGGAGCCGCCGCAGCCGGGATTTGATAACGCGACCTGCGCGTCAGTAGCCGAAAGGAAACTACAGGGAATGTTATTAAGAGCATTTGCAATGTAACGTGCAGAAATAATGGGTAAAATATTGAACTAAGAGCTTTTGAGCTTTCAGCTCGATATATTTAGTTTTTTTTTAATGGAGAAAGACACCAAACCTGCGCGGAACGCGCATTACCGTCATTACGAATGCTGAAAGAACAGCCTTTCAGAGCCTTTTCACACTTTATATTTGGGCGACTGCTACAGGCTCACTTGCAGGGTATCTACTACATAAATCATCCAAATTTGTGCCATTCTTCGGTGAGGCGTGGTATACCCACTCCAAATTTGCAAAAAAATGTGTTTACTTTTTTATATTGTGGCTGACGACAATGCAGAACTATGCCTAGCGCTACTGTAATGAATTGTGCCATTCGACAACCCATCCGTTACGTAATTGGTACTGTGTGACGCCTGGATGTTCCTTTGCTGTTCTAAACGCTTTACAACACACATTATTGCGACTTCTTTTCCGACAGGAAGCCATGCTAGGATCAGTTTCAAACAGAGTTCCAAGCACCGGTGAAGCTCAGTGGTGGAATACTGGCCTGGCATGCAGGAGGGGAACCGGGTTTGAACCCCGTTGTGTGCTAGGGGTTTATATGCTATCTTTCTTTTTTCGCTTTACGCGATAGTAGTCTAGGACACCGGCGGCGGTAGCGGCGGACAACAACGGCACACGCGATCTTTGTTGTGATGTCGTAAAAGCTTTCGCTATATAAGAACAGCGCGGGTGCTCGGGAGAAGAAGGACAACATTCATTTATTGTCCTGTTGCCTTTCTACTCCCTTGTACCTGTACTGTTTTTTTTTCGATGTGCAGAAAGAAAACTGGATGAAGGGAAAACCAATGATGATGATGTGTGGTGTTTTATGGCGCAAGGGCCAATCGATGACCAAAGAGTGCCATTTCGGTAGACAATGGATGTGAACAATGTAATGGTATGTGACTTCATGGGGGCCTAAAATTTCTCACCCTAAATGCGGCTAAAAATGTAAGTAATAATAATAGCAGTGTGTGATAAAATGTGTGTAGCGAAAATTAGCGGCAAACGGTTGTGATAATAAGTACGCTGAGACATGGTACGAGCACAGATGTCTCCTGAACGACCCTTGTTTCCAAGGGCCACAAGACAAGTGCTTTTTGTGATGTACCTACCGAGGCAGTGACCTCCAGTCACACATTTTGCCGCGGATTGCCAGGATAAATCACGTGTAAACAATGAACATCTTAAGAAGGCGAGAAGTGAATCATGTTTGAAAAAGAATCCCTACCGATGACCATCGCAGGATGAAGAGGCATTTGCTCTTGGTTGGGTAATGAGAAGTGCGTTTTTTTTATAGGATTCAATGCACTACACTGAACGAGGATATGGAGAACTTAAGAGTTTCACCACATTTTGCGCACATGGGTGGATCACCACCGGACAATAGGTAAGAGTGTGCCGAAGGTAAGTTATACATATAGTCGGAATTTGCGAAATGATTGGAAAACTTGCCAGCATCAGGGATCGAGCCAGCAACCTAATCGAAGATCGCTGGTTCGGTCCTTGACGGCGGGAAGTTCTCTATTCGTCCATTTTTCTTCCTTCACGTTCACATTGCAACTACTTCTAGTTACATCTCGTATACTTTCTTTGGCCTCATTGTCTGTCGATTCCCAATAATGTAATATAGATATGGTTGCTTGTGAAGCAGTGCGCTACAACTCGTGTCATTGTAGCTACCGTTGCTTATGATAATATCGAAATTGAAAAATTTTTTTCTTACTTGACTTCAATCCGGAGTTTCTTGGACACTTCGGACCGAAAGTAGTCGGAATTTGCGAAATGAATTGGTCCTCCAAAGTGAAAAACTTTCACGCCAGGAATCTCAGCTGCCTGACAAAGAAAAACAAATAACAAAGAGCCAGCCACATATATAACATTTCAAGCGGTTTAAAGGGTTTAAAAAAAGTGGTTCAAAAGTACATGGTTTGAAGGCACATTGTCTGCTAGGGAATAAGCATGAAGAACAAGCAAAATGAAAGAGCACCAACCAAAACGAAAATGTTTAAAACATTAGGAATAGACTATTCCACTATCGCACGGAAGCCTTGTTCATAATTTCTGTCTCAGCCGGAACGGAGACTTTGTGGACGGCTATCGTACGGTAGCTGAAACATCTATATTTATTGTTTCACACATTTTCGTTTTTGTCAGCGCAATTTCATTTCGTTCGTTCTTCCTAATTTAGTTGAGACTGGTAAATTACGCTGTGAATTTTCTAGCGTCGCAAGTTTTCCCACCATAAATTAACTAGTAGGAGAGAAAATCAGCGCCTAAAGTTCCACTTTTAAATTTCCCACTGAAATGTCCAGCGATGGCGTCACAGATTAAAATGTGCCTTTTCCTATTTAGGCCACAATTGGCGCGACAAAATTTTGTGAAATTTATTATGCCTAAAGTGCCTGACTGCCTCATAAAACGGTTCACTTCCTTCTTAAGTATTAATAACTAAAAAAAATGCTTGTTGACGCCATCAAAACCTACCACATAAAAGTGACTGCTGCGGGAACTGCCAGATGATGTCGCCACGAGGTATTTGTTTTTGCCCGTTTTCTAACTCACCAAAAGTATTCTCCAGTCAAACGTGCTGATTTGGGTATCCTAAACTGTGGTTTACTTATAAAAGAAAAATCATTATTGCCCCTTTAATTTTCCTCGCCATATGTGCCTTTTTTAAGTTTTCCATATGACTGCCTGTGATTAGAATAAATGTGTCAACAGGCTGCGGCACTGATGTAACGGTTTGTGATTGTTAAAGAAGGCAATTTCGCTAGTCTCTCCCATCTGCATTCAACGTTTACTTTTAACGTGCGAGTTTGGAGTTTTGTGGAAACAAATGCTTGTCATGCGTTTGACCTAAGGGTGTGCTATAAATATGAAAACATAAGAAAAACGTCGCTTGTCAAGAATTTGATTGTTTATGAACATCATTTCCGGAATAAACTATGTTTAGCTCCTAGTATGCGCATGTGTATTTGTAAAAGAATACCAGAGGTACGCAGGCAGGCCAAAATGCGCTCATTTATGCAAATTACTCATCAGCACACGGTCGTCAGCTGTAGTCGGCACATCTTTCAAGAATTATTCATTTGTACAGCTTGTCATTCAGCCATTTTGGGGCGTCAGTGCTAGCCAACTATGCTTGTATACTCTCGCATATGTTTTCGTCTTTACATGCTATGATGTACCCAATGTGAAAATGAGCTAAGACACAGATTAGTGACCAAAACGCTGCACATCTTGGGACATTCCAGACGCTCCGTGGAAAGCGTTATTTTTTAACGAACTAAAATTGGCTGCGAATAATTTCAGAATTATTTGAAACAAAAACTCACAACTCCGTAGTCCTTCAATGGAACGTAGAAGTCTGTGTTTGGGATACTGCCGAGGAGGCATGCCTTTGGCCTGAAGAACAAACAATATAAAACAACGACCGTGTCAGGAAGGTGGCCGCCAGTATGCACCGGTTCGAAAATGTTCGCTGTAATACTCTTACCTTGTCGCGAGTAAGAGAATTACAGGATTTGCAATTTAGCGAAGCGCTTACGATCTACACGAAGTACAACCAAAGGCGCTGTTGTCACAGAATCAGTTGAACAACGTCTCTCACTGACATGTTAAGTCATGAAGTAAATTCAACTGCGTTTCTCACTGACACGTTAAAATAAAGGTAACAGCTAACGTAATGACAAAAACTTGAAGACGCTTGTGCTTTACCTTCAAGATTATACTGCCATAAAATGATTGGGCCCCGTTCGCATCCTCTTTTCGCTAGCTTGCCAGGCTTCGCTACACAGTGCCTATTTCTTGGTAACCATTTTCTTGCTCTTATGGTGCACCTGAACAGTGTCACGACGAAAAGAACACCTGTGCACGTAACCACCAGCCGTTTCGAAATCGTGCTTCCTGCAACGGGAAGTTGCAAGTTGGCAACTACGCCACAATTAATCCCAATGTAAACCCGCGTAGCACCCACTGAGCGTACATATATGGCAATACGATGCGTGACAGCACACTTGCTAGATGCTGTTGCAGATCATGACGATTAATTAGGCCAGAGCACTTCGTAGCAGTCAAACTTTCCAGCCGCACACTCGTATCGCAAGTCACATGGTGTGACACATGTTGCAAAGCTAGCCCTCTGCAATATGACATGTGTTAACGGTAGTGTACATGACACCTGTATGGGCGTCTTTCCGATGAAACTTCAAGTGGCTACATGCCAATAGTCCTATCTGACTTGTAGACGTTCTGGGATAGAGTCTCACTAAAACCGAAGAGTTTTATTATTTATTCATATTGTAAAGGGGGTTTATTGAAGGACTGAGCAAGCGGGTGGTAGCTCTAAAGGAACGCAGGCGGACTCGGATGACGGTGCTTGATCGCCGATCTCGTGCCTTTTTATTGTGTTGATGATAGCTGACCTGATGGTATCAACGTCTTTCTTATTCACTACAGTATGAATGTTTTCGTATTTCGGCAACATCTAATGACACCAGCGTCTACTGTGGGATTTCTCCGACAGAGGTTGTTTAGCACTGTCACGTTATGAACTGTACTGCTTATCAGTTTAAATTTTTTTGTTTAAAAATAATGTAGCACAATGTCAACAAGTAGAGAGGCAGGGGTCTCGAAGTAAAAGAACTGTAGTGCTTATTATACTAGCATGAAGGGTGAAAAGTGATACAGCAAGTGAACGAAACAATTGGCAAAAATCGAAACATATTAGATAAGACATCCACGCTCAGATCAGTAGAACGTAAATTTCAAAGTGGAGTAATAAGGAACCCAAGGCAAGGGTAAAAAAAAACAGACGATTTGACGACAACCATCGAATGAGTACATTTGCAGGTAGTGATGCAAACGGTAATTTTCAAAGATAGTTAGGGAAGCCCATGATTTAATAGCTGCAGGCAGTTTATTCCAAAGTTAAATCGCAGTAAACGCAGATGTCTTGTATTTCCGTATGTACTAAGGACTGTGGGTATATTAATATTATTAGCTGCAAATATTGGGCCTTTTTTGTTCTGTAAATATTGAAGGTTTTTTTTATATAAAGTGATCACTCACCTCTTAATCTGGTAGACTAGAGTGAACAGTGAGAATATAATCCCGATGACGAGACCAAACTGTACATCCACTATGACAGTGGCCAGGAAGGATACCATCCAAATGTTCTGCAAAATCATGGGAGCAATTTGCGTCAGTACATATTCTTCGTATCTTCTCCCCCCCCCCTCTCTCTCTCTCTCTTTCTATATATATATATATATATATATATATATATATATATATATATATATATATATATATATATATATATATATAGAGAGAGAGAGAGAGAGAGAGAGAGAGAGACATTCCACTCGCAAAAAATAAGTATCGCGCACCGAACGTAGGTGGACGCCGTATTCTACACTGCATTGACACAGAACCTTCATGGCACCACGTAACTGTCAAAATATTCAAACGTGAAATGACTACTTATAACGAAATCGCCCTTGTTTTGATTCTCCCATCCAAACGTGCGCGCTGAACAAGTGCCCGAGCTTTTGCGTCTATGATGGCATTCACGCGATAAATAAAAACTCAATAAATTCCACCATCCACTATAAATCGACATGAATACGTCTCCTGAGCTTAGATTCTAAACAGCTCTTCAAAAATCTTCCTGGAATAACAAATTGCACTGGCTAATCACAAAGCGGGAATATTAACTTCTTTTGTTTTACGTCCCTCAGGTCCCAGGACTGAATCCGGCCGCATGTCTATGAAGAACACTTATTGTGCTAAGTTATAGGGGCATGTTGAAGAATCGTGGGTGGTAAAGATTTTCGCAGCCCTCCACTATGGTGTCCCTCATAACCACGTCGTGGTTTTCATTGTATTACAGTGGGAAATTATTATAATAATTGTTCAAGTGGTTTTCCACCGTCCCTCTTATTTATCGAGTGCTTTTCTTATTACTCGCAAACGTTAAGAAATAAGTCTATGACTGCAAAAGCTGTGAAAAATTAAGGAAGAGGGAAAGGTGTTTCTAACCACATCAATAAGTAGCCTTAGAAAACACTCGCGTCACATTGTTGAACCTGAACTATGGGCACCCTTGTCCGCCGTGGTGGCGTTGAGGTACGGTGCTCGGCTGCTGGCCCTAAGTATGATCGGTTCGATCCCGGCCATGGCGGTTGTATTTCGATGGAGGTCAAATGGTAGATGCTCGTGTACTATGCGATGTCAGTGCCTGTCGAAGAACACTAAATGGTCGAATTTTTTTAGTACTCTACTACTGCGTCTCTCATATTCATATCGTGGTTTTGGGACGTCAGACCCGAGATAGTATTCACTGTGAACAGCCAATGGTAATCGACTGATGACGTTGACAACACGGGCGAGTAATCGTAGAGATTAGCCGAGCGAGTATTTCATCATGCTAGCTAGAAAATTCTATATCCGACGAGCCATTGCTGTGGTCTCATCTACGAGTTTGTGACCCTGTCACAGAGTATGTTCTGGTACACAGTTCATTCACTAGTTACTGGCATCTTGACATCCACGGCCCCATGAAGGGTTCTCCCAACGATCTCCAGTATTTCCGCTACCTGTAGCAGCCTGATTACGTTGCATCCCTGAAAACTACCTAATTTCGTCATTTTATCGATGTGCCTTTCTCCACAGCTTTTCCTTTTCCTTGGTAACCCTTCTGTTGCTCTTACGGTGCACTGGTTGTCGGTTCGACGCATTACGTGGCCAGTCCAGGTCCGTAATATTAATTGTTGGGGTTTAACGTAACGAAACCACCGCATCATTATAAAAAACACCCTATGTAGTGAAGGGCTCCGAAAATTTCGCCCAATCGGGTTTAATTAACTTGCAAGAAAAATATGTACATGTGCCTCAAGCTTCTTTTTCCCTCAATCAAAAATGAAGCCACCTCTGCAGGGATTCGATCCCATGACCTTCGGATCAGCAGTGAAGTACCCTAACCACAACTGGACCATGGAGGGTTACCCAGGACCATTTCTTTCACTTGATGTCAACTGGAATATCTACTACCCCCTTTCATTTCCTGACAAACTCTGACGTCCTCCAATCACCTAATCAGTACATAGTCACCATCATCACCAGCAGCAGCTTGAAGACAGTCACCACAGGGACAGGGCCTCTTCCACGTCGAGCCAATACAAACGGTTCTGTACTTTCTGCTGCCACGTTACGCCAGCAACCTTCTTAATCTCATCTGGCTGCCATATTTTCTGTCTTCAACTCACACGTTTGCCGCCTCTTGGAATCCAGTCAGTTACCCTCAATGACGATCTGCTATTCGCAACCCCTCCCTGCACTTATGCAGTGGTTATTCTGGTACCTAATATAATCACACAAATAAACCAAATGTTGATGGTTCACCTACACCATCGATCTTCGATATCCTCCAGAAGCGCTGGAAGTCCTTCACTTGCAGAAACACCTTCTTCAGCGAGACGAATATGATTGTGCAGAGTATCGCCTAAAAAAGAAGGTCGAAAAACTTCCAATGTACACAGAACACGTCATTAAACTGATTCGTCTTTACGCCCGTATTCATGTGCATGAAGAAGCTCCTAAAAGATAGAAATGCTACCTTGAGTTAGTACGTTGCTAATACGACGGTTTATTTTACAGCTATAATTCACAAAGAAGGATGAGTCAGCATAACTGAGAACGGCCTTAGTAATCTTACCACGGGAAGTTTCTCGAAGTAAGGGCTGAGCCAGATGATGACGATGAAAATTATGATAGAGTTGACGAAGCTGACGACCTAGTGAAAAAAGAAAGGGCTTAGCGTGAGCGGGAAGGGATGTTGGGGACTATACAGTAATCAGTGTTGGTGCTCAAATGCGAAATTCTTAGCCGTGTAGTCTTGGTTATTATCTTTGTTTCTTAAAGAGGCCCTGCAACATTTTACCAAGTAACCACCGAGCCACACTATTAAAACAGTTCAATAACCGCTGCAAACACTTTTAGAGTCTGACAAGTACTAGCGCATTTACATTGATTTCTCGCACGCTGTAGTTTACGTAGCTCCTACCAACCCTGTTCTATCATATTGGCCTCTTCTTTTTGACACGAATCAAATAAATGTGTTGATTAACAAATATTTATTTGATTAATAGTTAATAATACATTAATAAATGAATGAATGAATATGTTCCTTCCTTTGTTCGTTCATTATATTTTTTCTTGTCCTGATGAGCGCACTCGAAGCTAACCAATCAGATTAGAGCTGAGAAAAAATTTCCGACACGCTTGCGGCATAACCTTGAACACGACTTTGGCCGCGAATTTGGCTGCACGGCGTGGTCATTTATGTGTTCGAACTCATTTATTAAAAGAAGGGGGAACAATTTGACGGTGACGTTTAAAACTAGTGTAAACTACGGACCACGTGCTGTGCAGTAATGTACGGCTTCCATCTTCTCAGATGCCACGACTACTGATCGGCCACATTTTATGACCAGTCCGCCGTGGGGAGCAGTCTTCATGGGGCTCGGCTGTGGATGCGAAGGTCGTGGGTTCGATGCCCGCCCCCACGGTCAAATTTCAAGAAGGGTGCATTGGTAGATGCCTCTGTATGGTACGATGTTAGGGCACGTTAGAGAACACCGGATGGTCAAAAATACCTGAGCCCTCCACTACGACGTCTATCATAATCATATCGTGGTTTCGGAACGTAAAACGCCAGACATGAACGTTTTCTGGCCATGCTGAAAGCGTGTTGCAGGGTCCCTTTAACGGTGTGATCTCAGCCAATGTTAATGTAATTAAAGAAAGACAATGTTATACGTCGTGCTTGAGCTTCATTATGCATCATCGCGTTTTATACACAGTTACTACAGTATGCACTGCACTATACAGGATTCATTCGATCACCGTAATGCCAAGAAGAAAGAAGACGTTAGACATTGATAATCGAAGTGTTTACCTCTTCATTCGCTGCGTATTAAACACTTTCTGAAGTTTTGGTAATGTTACCACGGCAGTCGCATTTCGATGGAAGGAAAATGCGATAGTGTACACTGCGATGTAAGTGCATCTTAAAGAACACCATATGGCCAAAATGTTCGAGCCCTCCCCATGCCTCATAACCGCGTCATGGGTTTGTGTTTTGTTAAACTTTTTGGAATGTGGCCATAGCGAAGAAACAGAGGCTGTGCTCACCTGCGTCTTGCCCCCTGCGCCTTCTTGAATGGAACTTCGTGGTACCGACGCCCCTACTGGAAAACAAGCAAAGAAGGCGCCGAAAACGTTGCACGCGCCCAAAGCAATGAACTCCTGCGAAGAATGAATGAAGCATATCATCATAATCATCATTATCATCACCATCATCATCATCATCAGGGCGTTTTGTGGCGCAAGAGCCATTCAATGGCCAAAGAGCGCCAGGTCCTAGGAATAGATATGTGGACAACGAATATAATAAGCGGCTGTATAAGGGCCTTAAAATGCCTCGCGCTAAGGTGGGTAAAAAATACAGTAGTATTAAAATCATGACAATGATGTGATAAGTGTGTAGTGTGAATGGATGGCGAAAGTTCTTGATATTAAAACCACGGTGGACATGTATGGCATTAGCACAGTTTTCTCGATCGTCTACACCTTAGTGTCCAAGGGCTGCGAGGCAAGTGCTTTGTTCAATGTAGTCATCGCAGCAGTGACCTCTTCTCTGAGAGGTCGTGCTGCGGAGATGCCTGGAAATGTGACATAAAAACGATTTGCATCCTTTAAAAACGCGAGCAATAATTGATAACTAAAAAGCGGTTCCCTACCAGTAAACATCGATGGGTGCAAGGTAGTTCGACGGCGGAAGGGTAATGGAAAGTGTTTTCTTCTAATTACATCCACTTCTTCGCGCTATATTAAAACATGAAGCACGGCAAAAGGTTAACCACACATTTCACAGAGGGGTGAATCGCCACAAGACAAAAAGTGTGAGTGTTTGCTGTGTGCATGTCCTATTCTTAATCTTGTAAGTGTTACTTCTGTGTAGCGCGACTTCGATGTCGGCGGCCAATTCGTGATATGTGGCTTGATGAGGTGAAGTTATTTTTTTGTTTGCCTATCTCATAAATGCTGTTAATAATTCCTGAGCTTTCGTACTAGCTTATCGTACACATTCACTGCAGTTTAGCATAGCAAGGCCTCTCCCAAGGATTTCTTACTTAACACTCTCTTGCGTGAGCTGTTTTCAATTCATGATGTCAAATTTCGAAGTTTCTTGACCTGGAGGAAATTAGAACATGAGGAAATGGAGAATACCAATCTTTATCAATTGCCATCGCCGCCACTGTCTAAACAGCGATAGCGTTCATTGTTTTCGTACCATAATGCCTAAGGAACGTACTTTTTCAAAGCATATGCAGAGAGGGAGAGAATATGTAGTCCTTTTACGGCCAGCGCTTACCTGAAACACAAGGCAAAAGGCACATGTGATGTAAATGTATTCTCTTTTACTGGCGAATTTGTGCTACTCTCCGATCCTATATAAGAAAAGCTACTCTGTGATTATACTAACAGACTAGATTCAATCACCTTGAAGAGGAATGAAATGTAAAAGGCAGAAAAGGTAATTACAAAATATACCTTACAATTTCGGATTAGGAAGACGTCAGGATGAGTTAGAATACTACATGTGTAGACAGAATAACTCGGGCACCACGCATGCATATGCAAGGCGAGCGTGAAGTGTGGGGAAAAAAAGGGGGGGGGGGAGGTTCATTTTTGTTTCACTTGAAATCTTATGCTGAATGAGTGCTTACACAGATTGTGAAAATTTTTTGGCTGTTGCTTCATACAAATCTAATGGTTTCGAGAAATCTAAAACAAGCATTGTGCTTCATGGAAGTGCATCTAACATATAAATATTGCCGCTACCTTTAAAAAAACGATCTCCGTTTTTATGTTAACGGGATGGCTTTCCAGTGACGTTTTATAGTAGTGTGACGTTACGGAAAGCCAGCAATTAGCGTAGCTTACTAACGCCAAGACCATCATCTCCTAGTGGTCCAGTGACCCAAATGGTGATTTATTGAGGACGCAGAGATATTAAACTCAGCAATTGTCTCGACTCGTCTAGATGATGTAGACTACAGGGGAGCAAATAAAATATTTTATACGTGTTTACCGACTCCAGTGTGTGAAGAGCGTTGACACTGCCTGCCAAGGGAGCGAAAAACAGCCTGTTTGTGATGCCGTCAAATCATGTAAGTACTGCTTCAAACTTCGGCATATGTGCATATTCTCGCAAACACACAAACACACCTAAGAACGCAAAAAAAAAGTGTTTGAAGCCCACCCCTTCACTAGAAATTTCTGCCCTCACACCGTAAAGTTTATTACGCCCCTACAAAAGGTGTGCCCCAAAGCGCGATACAAAACATAAAAAAACACAAAGTAATTTTATGAGACGTCCAACAGACTTGTTTCGTGGACATCCGAGGGATGTTTTAGGGACAGAACATGCAAATCGTACACACTCATAGTCGGTGCACTTGAACGACGTGCGCATGCGCACAACTATCATTGCGACGTGTAAAAGTACCTGGTTAGGGTCGATGGCGTACTTGTGCTTTCTGGCGAAGATGCGACCCAGAGAGATGGTGATGGCGTAGCTGACCACCGACACGGCAAGCGCCGGCGCCGCCAAACTCGACAGGAGCTGCGCCGAGAACACCGGCGAGTGCGGTCGTGGCATTCTGTGAGAAAGGGTGGAGGTCACCACTTGCCATAATAGTGACAAAACAGTTCTCTTGAGAATAACAAGAAAACGAACTCCCAGCCTTTATACTTATTTTCTCCGCAATAACCCACTCAAAGACGTAGAAAAATACAAATATCTAGGAGTCACTTTGACAAAGTCACTTACGTGGTCAGACCACATTACAAGCATATGCACGGCTGCACTTAGGAAACTGTGGTTTCTTAAGAGGAAACTTAAATCCTCAACGAAGGAGACTAGATTATTGGCATATAACACCTGCATCCGATCAAAACTTGAATATGCCTCGGTTGTTTGGGACCCTCAATGTAAAAAAGATATTGCCTTGATTGAAAAAGTTCAACGGAAGGCTGTCAGATTTATATTTAGCAAATATAAAAGATATGATTCGCCAACACAACTTATGCAACTAAATGATATCCAAACACTGGAAACTCGCAGGAAAATTAATCGGTTAACGTTCCTACACAAAATTCTTTCCGGTAAAGTTACAACAAGTCTGCCCAACTGTGTGAAACCTCTATCTTCTAGAAAAACAAGACATAAGCATAAATATTCATTGGCGCCAGTTTTTGCCCGTACCACTGCTTTTAAAAATAGTTTTTTCCCTAGGACTATTGCTGACTGGAACTCTTTACCAATAAGTGCTTTTCAGTCCGAAGATATTGAAAAACAGCTTGAAACTTTTTTTGTTTAGTTCTGAATGATGTATCCATATGGTGTGTATTCGCAGTGCCCGAGTAATGTAGTTAGTTGACTTCTGCTGCGCATGAGTGTTCTGATCACTGTTTATGTGCCGTAACTCTGTTGTGCAAGTGCACTATAAGTTGTCTAATTAAGTGCTGTGACATTGTACTTTTTTTTTGTTGTTTTTGCCCCTCCTGCTTGGGCCTAAGTATAGGCCTGCAGAACCTGTAAATAAAAATTCATTCCATCCATCCATCCATCCATCCATCCATCCATCCATCCATCCATCCATCCATCCATCCATCCATCCATCAATTCCATCCATCCATTCTATCCCATCCCATTCCATTCCATTCAATCCCATCCCAATTCATCCCATTTCATTCTGCCCCATTTAATCCCATTTTATTCCATCCATCTATTTTGCACTATTTCCGCATAGCATGTCATTACATGTTCCGGGGGATGGCTATGATGTATTCACTGATAAACACACGACACCTACAGCCAAACACACGTTGACTACGCTACTCGCAAGGTTTCGTTTAAGCCTTTGGTCAGCAATAAAATGTATCCTGATTTCTTGGCGTGTAACGCAATCATCATCATCATCATCATCATCATCATCTTCATCAGCCTGACTTACCACTGCAGGACAAAGGCCTCTCCCATGTTCCACCAGTCACCTCAGTCCTGTGCTTGCTGCTGCCAATCTATACCCGCAAACTTCTTAATATCGTCTGCCTACCTAACCTTCTGTATCTCCTTACGCGCTTGCTTTCTCTAGAAATCCAGTTAGTTACCCTTAAGGACCAATGGTTATCCTGTCTACGGATAGCCTATAGTTTAGTGTACACTTGTTGCACATAACATTCCTCCCCTTACTCCATCCTTCCTCCTTCTCTTCATATTGCACATAGTTGGTCGGCATCGGTGTGAGCCGTCTTTGCAGCTGGGAAGACAAGGTGAATTCTGAGAGAAACGCCTCCCGCCCCGATGTGCGAGGCCCTTGCGGTGTATACTAGAATCACGCAGCTGTGCAGGAGCGTGCATGCGTAGACCGCTTTGGAGGGTTACCGAAGAAGTGGTGGTCTCCGGCGAGAACGTGTAGTAGACAGACAGTATATCATGCCTTAACGTGTCTGAAAAGTGGGCCACTAGGGGATATTTCAGGGCAAGACAAGCTCCGGAAAATGCCGGCTGTAAACCCCGCGTTTACCTCTGGCAATGGCGCGCATGGTGTCATTTGCAGCAAGGGGCAAAGCCGTAATTTTCTACCGAAGTTTCAGCCACTTCAGGTCATTTAATTTCAGTGCCAAGCTGAAAGAAGAACTTCTGGTGACGAGTGAAAAGTAGCGCTGAAAAGACGGGACCAGCAAGGACATGGCACCATGGCGCTGACTGGTTGTTATAGTCAGCGCTTTGGTCTGGTGTTCTTTCCTGTTCCGTCTCTTTAGTGCTGTTTTTCACGCATCATCATGAACCGACTATTCCAAACGAGTACCTCACTGCGACCCCTGGCGGTCAAAATTTCCGGCGCCCGCTTTTCAGGAAGCGGTTATATTCACATCGTGACTTCGGGGCGTAAAACTTCAACATTCATTACTACATGCGAGCGTATGGCGGGAGCAGGTTTACTCACTGATGCTCGATGTGCTCGATGACGCTCATGTTGTAACCTTCCAGGTTTATATGATGCGACAGCAGTGTGCCAAAGATGACCTGCAACGTGGGAATGCACACATTATTCAACTTCATGTTCAATGAGTTTCGTTTTTATATACGTCATTTCATTTCCAACTCACGGGCGCCTTCATTTCTGGATCAAAAGCAATTGTTTTTTTGTTTTTGTTTTTGTAGTTAGAAATGATCAAGATTACGAGATGCTGAATGGACAATCCCAATTGTTTTTGCGTGCGTGAGTTCACCGTAGCAATGCTTGTATGTTTGATGCGGACATAAAACTGCAACGTTACCGATCGAAAGTGGCGGCTCTTGAACGCATCCGGAACATCCGAAAAGGCTCCACTTCTAATACAGTTAGGCGTGGCTGTTGACCCACAATGAGAGCGATGCAGCTACATCTTGTGGGGGTATGTGTATGCATAAGAGCATGAGCTCCAGGGTGACAGTGCCCACGGTCGGCGCCAGACAACCACCTTGAGTTTCATAAACTTGTGAGAGTGAATGGCTTTAATTGACTCAATCCACGTGAATACTGGATAATGGCTTGATGTGATGCCAGGGAATACTAGCTTCACTAAGGACCTCCAGATCAGAGCGGGTGTAGCACTGTCTCGGTGGGACCCGCCTCTCCATAAAAGTAAAATTTTTGCTGAGCCTGTTGGTGCATATTACAAGAAAAGTAGACGACGCAAACTAACGGGGAATAATAAGCGGAAGGAAAGAGCATTCTTTTTTTTTTTCGCTGAATCTTCCCTCGTTGCTTTACATCGTGTAATTTTGACGATAATTATTAGGGTTTTATGGTACAAGGGCCCATTGATGGCCAAAAGGCGCCATTGCAGTAGACGATAGATGTGAACAATGTAATGGTATGTGGCTGTATGGGGGCATAAAATTTCTCACCCTAAACGCGGGTAAAACATATACGTATTGCAAAAAATATGGGTACAACCATGATCTGGCGTACGTTAATCGCGCCCATAACCCGGACTGCCGGGAATTGACCATCGCATACGCAATAAGCGTAATCACTCTTCTGAAACGCTCGACACTTCCTGCAGCTTACCATATGTAATAGCTACAGGCAGGTGTCCATGCGTTCAGATATCGTTGTAAAATTATTTGAAGAACGTAGCGTTCTTATGCTTAGCAGAAAAGTTTACTTGTCAGAAAAGTTCTTGATCTTTATATTTGTGACAGCTATAGTGTTCATGTACTTATAGCACATTGCAAGTAGCTTTGCTGCTTTGCCACGCAGAACGCTCGGTATTACGTGAACGACTGTTTCAAGCTGTAACTGAGACGGTTGTCTGCTCTCCCATAGTGGAGTACCAAGTACTCCAAATCATTAAACAATTTTTCTATGCGTACAACGTTGGTTGAGTTATAGCCCCGCCGTGGTTTTCTAGTGGCTAAGGTACTCGGCTGCTGACCCGCATGTCGTGGGATCGAATCCCGGCTACGGCGGCTGCATTTCCGATGGAGGCGGAAATGTTGTAGGCCCGTGTGCTCAGATTTGGGTGCACGTTAAAGAACCCCAGGTTGTCGAAATTTCCGGAGCCCTCTGCTACGGCACCTTTCATAACCATATGGTAGTTTTGGGACGTTAAGACCCATATATCATATATCAAGTTCACAGACCAATTCACAGACCAGATTGGTATCCCCGGGAATTCACTGTATTTCCAGGTAAAATATCATGACCATTGGTAGGCGTTATAGTTGACTCATTTAAGATGCTACGTGCTCGTTCAATGTAGTACAGTTTGACCATGCCCGAATGAGCAGTTCAACCCCGATTGAGAAGTTCACAATGGTTTGTCATCTTGTGGAAGCTTATGAGGACACTTACGACGACCATTTCGATGGGGAAGGGGATGCCAATCTTCTTGAGCAGGAATGGGTCGGCCAGTATCTTGATGAGCAGCATGATGATGAAACTTGTTATGGAGAGTGCAAGCGTCGGCAGATGGGTTTCGGCTATGCGGCGAAAAAACTCGATGTAGCCCTGAAAAAAAAATCCGCGAGAAAAATACATTCGTAAAGCTGGCAGCTGACTATAAATATTCGAGAAATTGGCACAAAATGGCGACGTCTAGGGTGAGACGTTGGGATAAGTGTGTAAGCAAAAGTTTATTTAAAAATGCAGAAGGGCATACACACATTCGCTCATCATGACTCAAAGGCGCAATATTTTTCCTTTGCTTTTCGGTTGACGTACTGATCGACCCTTACAGATACCTCTTAGCACGAAACGTGGCTTTGCACTGCCCCGAAAATCAAAGACATTTCACGCTTCCTGCACCTCACCGGGTTCTTTACGGCCTCTGTGATCGCCACACCATTGAACGTGTGACAATGTCGTGCCATGACGTCATTGCATGGCACACTTTGTGTGACCCCTCAGGTATTAACGATCACTGACGTCATGGTGCCATTTATCACTCATGCTTCCGCCGGTCGTCACCAACGTCGACGGTTTATTGTCGTATTTGATTAGGCATAAGGGCGTTCGCCTTAAGATACGATGCTCACACAAAGGTGCACCACATACCCAAAAGCTTCGTTGCGGTCTTACAGGGCTACAAATAGCTGATAGTTGTATAGCCAGATTTGCTCAATAAGACATGATAAAGTATCGATGCAATACAATAGACTCAGTTTTACACCTTGAAAACTAGGATTAGTGGTTCTGCAGTCCTATGAAAGATAAAATCAAGCCTCAGCTAGAACATCCAAATTATGTAAATTAAGAATTTTTTCGGTCCACCATGGGGGTGTAGCGATTTCGATGGTCGGCTGCTAAACCAAACGTTACAGGTTTGGTCCCTTGCCACAGCGGTTGCATTTCTACAAAAGGGAAACTCTAGAGGCCTATGCACTTTGAGATGTGAGAACAAGAGTTTAGACGAAGCGGGCAACATGAAATTTGTGCATACTTTCACGCTTAGCCGCATTATATACGCTACCTCACATCTCAAGTGGAACCGCAAAGAAACTGAACGCGTGAATGCCATGGTCCACTTCGCAATTAAGGCAGCCCTGAAACTTCCTCGTATCACAAGCACAACCAAACTCTTTGAACTGAACACCCTCACGTAGTTCGTTGAGCCACAACTGCGGGCACAGTACGCAATTTCTTTTCCGCGAGCTCCACTGGCCGTCATATTCTCGTCTCCCTTTGCATAAACATACCCGCTAGTCAGCCAACTTTCAAGGTCATTCCTCGACACACTCATGCCTCTGTAATTGTGAAAACCCTGCCTTGCAATGTGGATCCTCCGCATCATATAACACATCGCGTAGCCAAATGGTGTTTAATGTTATGCATTGTCAGTTTGATGGTGTCTCCTGTTGTATGTGACTGGCTAAATTCTGTCCACCGTTGTCTATTGTCGGCTGGCATTAGTCTACTAACTCTAGTCTACCGATGACGTTTCGGATAGATTCTCTCATAAAAGAGCAATGTTGAACTCTCTCGATACCAAATGCAACTGAGTCAAGCCTTCGACGGATATGATTAGTTGTGCCCCACCTTGATGAGGTGGAAGGGGCCAGAGTAGACGGGCACATTGATGCCAAACAGTCCCGGCAGTTGACTGGAGCCGATGTGCACAGACACGCCAGCCGTGAAGCCACTGACGAGCTGTTCCGACAGGAAGACGCTCAGGCTGCCCAGCCGAAGCATGCCGAACAGAAGCTGCGCATATAAGGAATCACATGTAGACACTCCAAACCACGCACGACATAATGGTTAAAAAAATTGACCCCATATTTGCATAGTTCACCGCAAATGTCGTCAAACGACGATAGTCTTGCGTCTGGAGAGAGTGAACAAAACGATTATTTGATGTTCTGCGTGAGAAAATCGGTAAATGAAGGCGCTGCGTTAGAGAAGAGAGTCTGGATCCGTGCAGCGAAGGCGAACGAGCGCATCGAGGCACGTTACCCGCGAGGGCTATCTGGCAGTTATGTTCGAAAACGAAGGAAGGCGGGCGCGCCCGTCTTGGAGGAGATAAGGTGTAGAACGGAAAGCGATGGGCAGGTGCAAACAACGTGTCGTCTTAGCGAAGCGTTGGAAACACTTGCCTTTTTGAGCATCGCATTGCATTGTCAGTGCAGCGTGATAAATGCTATGGTCCTTAGAATTACTTACGTATGCTTTCTCTAGCATGAAAACTCACATACAAATTATTGGCGCGTTGTTATGGTGCCGCAGATATGCGCAATAATTGCTTTTTAATTGAAAATCGCACAAGTTTTAACGCTGGAACTTGAGTCATATTGGTGGGCGCTTCGGAGAGGGTTGGCCATTTAGGGTATCGTTTGGTGGCGTTTCGGGTTTCCTTACGGCGGAAAAACAGACAAATATACAGACAGACCAAAGCTTTTGCGTCGAGGTACCCCAAGAAAGACTATGGTCTTTAAAAAAGAACTCCTTAGTGGAAGTTTTCAGGTGGTGCCGAAGCCTTGTCAAATTGGCTGCGAGGCATAGATGTCTACCCGGCCACTTTATAACGGCCACCAGTTGTATGTCGTACGTGTAAAGCAGCGCTCAAGTATAAGGAGCTTGACAAAAACGATATTACTTCTCTAAAGTGGGAGCTAAGCTTCATGATAAACAAAGACGAATGCGTGGAATTACCGAACCACACTAGGTGCACGCTGATGTGTAATCAAATGGCACACGTCAGGGTCTGTTCCCCTTGCAAGGAGAGAACATTTGAACCCTCCCCTTCCCACACGTTTTCCTCAATTGTTTTTGAAACCATGCGTATACTGCGCATCTCAAAAGACACCCAGGGGCGCAAAATTATGCCAGTGTCCCCGCTCCAGGGCGTCCCATAATATGGTGGCGTGTCTGGAAGGGAAAGATTGCAGTTGTCGAAGTGGTGAAGACTTAGCTATATTATTGGGTGAACCTGTTTCCAGCACAACAAAACGCTCACAGAACTAACAAGAGTGGCGAGCACTGCCGTCGGCTATTGACGATTCGATCTACGGGCTTAGCACCTCGACCATCTGTATACAATTCACAGTATACCCACTGCAACACAATAAACCTCCGGTACAAACGTGCATCTTGGGATGCACTTGCTGCATATGTCACGAAATCGTTGTAAAAAGAACAATTGACGTAGATTAACTTTTTCAGCCCGGTAATCCTTCTAACGAAAATATTTCTACTCTGGCGAGAGCCATTTGCTACCACCTAATTAGCACAAAATATTATTCTGTGAACTCTCCAGTAGTATACACATAGGTCAGTGAACTCACTCATGGGTCAACACACTCGGACACACTAAGACTCAGATCAAGCCGTGAGTTTGAGGGTGAGTGAGTACGGGTGAGTAATCCTTTGGTGAGCTTGAGTCGGAGTGAGTTCTGCCGAAGAAAATTTGGGCGAGTCTCAATGAGAGTTGATCTAACGTGCACGATATATTTCTTGAGGGATTATGAGTGAGTTCCATACTGGTCTTGCTGATCTCAGGTACAGATGAGTAATATTTTGGTGAGCTTAAGTCCGAGCGAGTCTGGTTGAAGAAAAGTTTAAAGAGTGTGAGTGCGAGTGAGTACGGCTCAGGAAAATTTGGGTGAGTCCAAGTCCGAGTTATTCTGATGCGCAAAATATATTTCATAAGTGAGTCTTGGTGAGTTCCACTTATTTTCGCCGAAATACGTCTACTCATACTTCTGCATCACTATCAGCCTCACCTAAATTCACGTTTATACTAACGTCGACTCAGACGTGTTTCAAAGCAGGGCTGTTCATACATCAGTTCAATGTTTAGTGATCAGAAGAATGAATTACGTAGGAGCGTACGTTAACCTCCCCCCGTAATTTCTTCCTCAAAAGCACTTGATAAATAAGTATTATAGTGTCATATTTTTCAACAGAAATGTACTTTCTCGTTTGCAACCACTCATTCTTCGTACTCCAGTGCTCTATTCCAAAAGGCATCATAAAGGACACCGATTACTTGAGATATTGGTTTTAAAAAGCATTGACACCATGGTCGAACAAGCTAATTCTATAGGTTAAGGGGCCCATGAGTCGACTCATTCGGACTCACTCAGACAAAAATTGAGGCACAGATTTCAGTCTGACTCAGTCTGCGTCAGTAATATTTTGGTGAGTTTAAGTCCGAGCGAACCCAAAGCAAAAAATATATTCAGTCTGTTGGTCTTGGTGTGCTCAAAAATTTTCACTGACCTGTGACTGTATACATGAAATAGCATGGTGACATGTCCTATGCGTAGGACATCAAGTCTTAGTGAGTGCAAAGTGAATTGTGCTGTATTAACGCTAGAAAACAACTATTCATACGAACATCACCGTTTTGGGGCGTAAAACCCCTTTCCCCTGACTGAATTATTTGAATTTAATAATTTCCGTTTCTTTCCTTATGTTGTGCCTTTTCACCGCCATCCTTTCCATATCACACAGCATGCTTCATCCGCGCTCCAAGTTCATCTACACAGTGGATTAAACCGAAAAAAGATAAGAACATAACTTCGCCGTACCTGATAAAGACCCACCAGAAACGATAACGTCGTGGCAACCTCAGCAGCTGTGTACTCGCGCTTGTTTTCTTCGACAAGGTTGCCAGTCATGATGGATACTACGGCGAAGGCACCTGTTTGAGACAAAATCAAGGTGTGGCATCATATGCGCGACTTGCGTTGGTATCACAGTTGGTATACGTTAAAGAAAAACTCTAACAAACAACAGAGTAAATAGTATGTCAGTTAATTAAAATATTATGGTGCAAAAAGGACTGAGTGTTATGTTGCATCACCCACAAGGGGCTGTATAATGAACAGCTAAGGTTGCGCAAATCTAAAGCCAAATAAACAATTTTTAGAAAAGCTATGAAGGGGTGAGGTATGTAGGAAAGGGTGTTTCAGCTTCATTATCCTGAAACCCGGCGACAGCAACGCATGCAGTGTCTTGAGAGACATTTTTTTGACGAGTCAACAGGAGTTAGAATATAAAAACCGAG